GGGGTGGCCAGCCGCAGGAGGCACATGGGTGGTGGGGAGGGGCCGCACTCACCCAAAGGCCTCCCACGTCCTCCATCAGCTTCATGGTGTGCAGCCCCAGCTTTTGAAGTGCCCCTTCCCCACCCCACCCTCTGCTGCCCCACCCTCTGCTGCCTGCTACCCATTATACAGGATAACCTCCTCTTTTCAATTGCAATTTATCACACTTAGCCAGCCACATTGAAAGATAGACAAACCAAACAGTATTTTCCAGTATAAGAACAGAGTCAGTTACTTTGATCAACTAGCTAGACATCTGTGTGCCATCTGCACAGCATTTGGTGCAATAGTGTGAGACATTGGTGCAGCTCTCAGAGTTATATGAATTTTCATACAGCTCATATTTATGTTTGTAATGTGCAGTATACACAGTGTTCATCGGATTCCAGAACATCCATGTGACATTCTCTGGCCTGACCTATGCAGACGTCAGAGTAGAAAATCAAAACAGTCCCTTCGTGCCGTGTAATCTATGAATCTGTGCTGTGCGCCGTGGGGTTCTCACGCAACCTGCCAGCGCAGAGCTCTGCACCTGTCCGAGGGCAAAGGCAGTGAGGAGCTGTCTCTCAGCTGTGTTACAGGACCTGGTCAGGTCATTGGAAGGTCTGTCAGAGCCAGACCTAGGAAGCCGCTCCGAAATTCTGGGGAATAATTTTAGAATTAGGCCACAAGGAGCCCTGGAGAAATGCATCTGACAGCCAAACAAATCCCAACCCATCCCTCGCCAGAGCCTCACATAATGCACTTGGCCAGCACAGCAGCCAAACAAGCAGCCCAAATGGACTTTTCCGTAGAGCAGCTTGGAACTTTTCCAGTATGAAAATTCTGGTGGAAATGGTGAAATGTGCCCCCAAAGAGGTGAATGTTTATGAAATATTTCCCATTCAGAGATAATTTTTCTGTTGACATTTCAATATTGGAAGACGTCTAGAGCCTTGGATCTCCACTCATCTCCTTTTTACATCTGCAGGGATCTGCCGATGCGGATGTGGATGTTCGTGGCTCATTTATGAGGATATGAATGCAGATAAAATTTTTGTATCTGTGCAGGGCTCTAAAGATATAAAATCAAGCTGGTACTTTGACTAAATTTGCTCATTTGATTTTTTTAAAGACTATCAAGAGAGTGATGGAAATTTACTTTCTATGTACATTTTTTTTGAACAAATGTTTCTCTTCCAATTTTCCTGTCAGGTTTAGAACAGGTCAACAGCAAAACCTGTTAAAAAGCTTCAGGGGTTAGCCAAGTTAGTCTGTACAGGATAAACTGAAAAAACAACAAATAGTCGGGTAGCACTTTAAAGTCTAACAAAACATGTGTCCAACACTATGGTCATCTGAAGAAGTAGGCTTTGCCCACGAAAGCTCATGGTTTGTTAGTCTTTAAAGTGCTACCGGATTATCAGTTAAAAAGGAAGGTCAGCAGGAGAATCTTCAGCAAATGTGAATGAATTTCCCTCTTTCACACTGTTACAATGAACTTTACATTTCATTCACTAATATCTCTGGCTGCATGAGGAGATGGCCTTCCCGATGGTGTTTCGAAAGGCTCCCTTCACCTCTTTGTTCCTCAGACTGTATATTATGGGGTTGAACACAGGTGTCACAATTGTGTATATGATGGAAATCATTTGATCACTCTCGGGGGTGGAGCTTGACTTGGGTCTCAGGTAACTCAAGAAGGCTGCTCCATAGAGAAAAATCACCACTGTGAGGTGGGAGGAGCAGATGGAGAAGGCTTTATGCCTCCCCTCTGCTGATGGCAGCTTGAGGATGGTGGAGATAATGCAGATGTAGGACAGGACTATCAGTAGAAAAGGGCCCATAACGCACAGCACCAGCACGGACAAGCCAAAGATCATGTTCTTCCATGTGTCTGTGCAAAGCTTCTTCTGCAACGGTTGGATATAGCAGAAATAATGGAGGATGCGGTTGGAACCACACAAGGGCTGGCTCAAGAGCCATGTGGTCTGAGCTACTGCCACTGAGATGCCGATGACCCATGAAGCACCCACAAGCAGCACACACACCTGGCCACTCATGATGGTTGTGTAGTGCAAGGGGCGACATATGGCCACATACCGGTCGTAAGCCATGGCCGCTAGGAGACAGAATATTGTGAGGCCAGTGATGGTGCAGATATATATCTGAGCAGTGCAGCCTGTGAGGGAGATGGTCTTTTCCTCCACCAGCAGGTGAACCAGCAGCTGAGGGACCACACTAGTGGTGTAGCAGATTTCCAAGGCAGACAGGTTCACCAGGAAGAAATACATGGGGGTATGAAGGGAGGGGTTGAGCTTTACCAGGAGGATAATGAACAGGTTCCCCATCAGTGCGAGTAGGTAGGTGACCAGAAATACCAGAAACAGAAGGATTTGCAGCTCACCAAGGTAGGAAAACCCCACCAGGATGAAGACATCAGAGATGGTCTGGTTCTTGCCAGAGTGGCTCTCAGAATTGGTCATCTGCAGGGGTGACAAAGAAAACACTGAACGTGAGGCAAACCCAAAATGTGAATGTGAATCAAACAATGCGAACCGGTTTCCATACCATCAGGATGCTTGAGAGTAAAACCTGCTGCAATTCTGTGTGTAAATATGTAACTGGGCCCAGTCATCAGGCATCTGCTGGTGTCGCTGTTTGTATGTGAACCAGCGACAGCAGGGTAGGTCGGCTGCAGATTTGACCCTTTGACACCAGTGGAGCTACAGCTGATCTGCAACAGATGAGGAGGTGGTGAATTGACTCTAAAGAAGCTACATCAGGTCCAAAATTGTGTGATCTATGCTTCCCCTTTCAATACATTTTCTCTCTGTCTCCATGAAAATTCAAACAGGAATCAATCTTTCTTTCTTTCTTTCTTTCTTTCTTTCTTTCTTTCTTTCTTTCTTCTGACAAGTTTTAGAGGTAGTAATGTTAGCTTTTGTGAGTTGCAACTCACTTCATCAGTTGCATGAAGTGAAAGAAAAAGAAACAGATAGAAGTGATACAGAGATGGAAGTGTATCAGAGCTCCTTCAATCAGGTGGCTGTGGATAGGGGGGTGAGAACACCTAATGTGGAAAATTTCTTAGGCTATGTCTATACAGTAGCATTATTCTGAAATAACATAGTCTGCATCTACACTACAAGCAGTTAGTTCAAAATAATGTTGAGCTGGAGGACTTCTTACTCTGACTCCAGTTACCCTCATTTACAAGGAGTAAGGGAAGTCGGAGGAGGAGTGCTTTAACTCAGACTTCCTATTGTGTAGACCGTGCCAAAGGCCAGAATAAGCCATTTCAACTTAAGGTACGTAATTGACATAGCTCAGGTTGCATACCTTATTTCGGCTGTAGTCCTGCTGTGTAGATGTGCCCTTAGAGTAATAAGTGAGCCATTCCCCTTCCTTAGTCAGACCCATTCTGATGGTGTCAATTTTGCACAATTTTGTGTGAAGGTTTTGGGGTTTTTTTGTTTGTTTGTTTTTGGTTTTTTTGCTTGATAATGTATGTCCAGGGAAGTTAAAAATTTCTCCCACTGGATTTTGTGTGTTACCATTCTTGATGTCTGGTTTGTGTCCACATATATCATATTAGTAGCTGTGCAGGAGGAGAAGCATTTGAAGGCATGGCTGGTGTGGTTAGGTGCTAGGAAGGTGTCTCTAGGGTAGATGATGTAAAATGACCATCTCTTGATCCCTGATCTCTGTTCCCTTGTCTCTCACTTCATGTGCCTGATGAGCTCACTCGTCTCGTAAGCACAAGAACAGTTACACAAATGCCAGGTCCCCACTGCAGTTACCACACACAAAAGCGAGGGCTGCTTACACGAGGAATGTCGTGCTGCTGAGCCCGACATAATGTAGCCCGCTGAGGAATGAGACCCAGGATGAATCTTGAAAACAATGTGGGATTTGGGCCATTTTGGTTCTAGGAAAGCGGATTCTTCAACAAGTGTCACAGAACAATTAAAAAACTTAAAAAACCAACAATTAGTCTTGAAAATGCTACTAGACTAACTAAACATGCAGATGGTATCGTGAGCTTTCGTGGGTGCAACCCACTTCTTGTAAATGAAGTTAAGTTCCAATCCTTCTCTGTGTATTTGGCTTGTGGAATTGGCTTGAAACAATATGGTGACTTGGAGATCTGTTAATCCAGACAGATTAAACTGTTCCCCAACCAGTTTTTGTGTATTGCGTTTTCAGAGATTTGATTCGGGTCCATTAATTCTGAACTTCATTTACAAGGAAACTTCATTTACAAGTTTAATTCTTATGCAAATGGTATGAACAGGGACATAAACTGGCTCACACTCTAACTTTCTCATCCTAATTACTTAACCAACCAACCAAACAATGGAGGTGCTAATTGTTCTTATCAGCCTCTTGCAAGTACCTGAACCATCTACTCACTCCAGTCATCTGAAGAAGGGGGCTGTGCCCACAAAAGCTCATGATACCATCTATATGTTTTGTTAATCTTTAAAGTGCTACCAGACCATTTGTTGTTTTTTCATCTATTCACTGTCTCTTTCTTTCTTCCCTCCCCATCCTTTTTTCTCTCTTCCCCCACCTCCTTTTTGCCCCCCTTCCCTTATTTATTCTTGGATCTGGATTCCTTATACTCCAGTCCTCTGACAAAGTGGGTTACGTCCACGAAAGCTCATGATACCATCTACATGTTTTGTTAGTCTTTAAGTTGATATTAGGTTTGTTGTTTTTTAAGTTTTTTCATGTTACCGACTAATTCGGCTACCCCTCTGAAGCTTTAGAACAATTTAAATCCTTCCTGCCTCTTTCACAGCACCACCTTAAATGCATAGAAAAAAACACCTTGGGCCATTTCCTTAATTGGTGTAAAACTGAACAGCTGCATGGGGATGAAAAGAGCTACAGTGATTTACACCAGTTGTCGATATTTTATAGCCTGCCTATAAAGACTGTTACAAGAAGCAGGATCCTACAATGTATGAGACATTGTCTACATTTTTTTTAACTTAAAGATTATTTGTTGAGAGGGAATTTCAATAGAACAGGCATGACAGTGAAATGACAGAGAGAAAATTAAAATCAGCAGTAACATGTATCGTGTTTTCACATTTTTAGCACCTTCACTATGGGCTCTCAAAGCAAAGCATCAGATAATAGTGAGTAACCAAGCATGAATCTGGGAGTGTGAGAGAGAAGCACACGCACACGCACACACTCACACATGCAAGGGTTCACTCGCTGCCATAAAGGGAACAGACACACAAAAACACCAACTTAAAGTGAATCTCAGAGAGTAAATTCAAAGCAAAGCAAACTCTTGGGGTGCTATGCAGAGTGCAGGGCACAGAACAATCGACCAGAAATATTTTCAAATACAGAGTCCTGGAAACGAGGGGGGGGATTCTCCTGCCTCTCACAAGAGCTACTCTGGGGAGCAGATTCACACTTGCAAGCACTTTCCTCAGCATGACCATTGCAGTAAAGGCAGAGCTGGCTGGGCAATGGAATCTCTACCCCATGTTCCAAAATCTTTTTTTATCCTGAATCAATATGAAAAGTCGAAATAGCAAAAAAGCTAAATTAGATTCAAAGGACGCAATATGAGATGGAATGGAAAATTGAATACTGCCATCAACATCCATTTTTTCTCGTTGACTTTGTCCATACTAGGACTTTATTTTGAAATAATGCCGCCCCCCAGGGCAGATTTATAAGTGGGGTGTCTATACCACCAAGTCTAATATTTCAAAACAACAGGCAGCGGAATTTGAAATCTATACTCTAGTTATTCATCAGGAGTAAGGCTAATTCCAAAATCGTTATTTTGAAATACCGTTAGTGTGGATGCTCTGGTGCCGCTATTTTGAAATAACTACTCCCCAGAGTAGTTCACAGTAATTACTCCCCAGTGCATCTTGGGGCTCTAAATTTGAAGCAGCACATTTGCATTAATGGAGCCTGCTTCGGACTAATTTTGAGGCTTCCGCGTAGTGTGGACACACTAGCTCGATTTTTTTAAAGCAGGAGTTATTAAGTTGCATTTGGTAATTTTGAAATACGTCCCCAGTGTAGGCATGGCCATTGAAACCCTCATTAGAGATGAAGTCATTTTTTTCGGAAGGGATTTTGATTTGTTTCTTTATTTGCTGGCTGACATTTGGACCAACTCTAAATAAAAGGAAAACTGTACCCACAATTAGAAATAAGGTCAGCATAGATTCTTCTCCCTGGCAGTGGAGGGATATTTTCAGAGCACTTCAAGGCATCCAGACCCTGTAAACAGAAGAACATGGAAGTGATGAAGGAACCAGATATTCTGTGGGGAGAGAGATGAGATAAATGCAGCTGAAAGAGTCCACTGCATAACTCATGAGCCCAGGGGCAGAGAATGATGTGATCATGGGGGGAGGGGGAATTCTCTGGCTAGAACAGATCAGCCTGAGCCCACCTATTGGGCTGCATCCAACCCAGCTTAACGACCAGCATTTCTACTCAGAGACAGTGGATGATGCTGATAAGGGCTGGGGAAGAGAGAAGAGGAAAGACGAGAGGAGCGAGAACTGAAAAAGAACCCCAGAGACACAGCAACAGCACAGGCAATGAAGAGAATCACGGCGAGGGGAAGGACATATCCGATGCACGTCTGTCACTCTGGCGGGCACCATGGATCTATGCAACAAGTTCTTAAAGTGAAATCAAGTCCAGCCCTTAGCCCATGAGTGTTAAATTAGTGGAATTCAGACCGAGAGGTTCTAAGAGCAACAGGTTAATAGATACTAGTGTATAGACAAATAGACGACTGGCGGGTCGATTTGACAAAATTAGATTAGATAGATAGATAGATAGATAGATAGATAGATAGATAGATAGATAGATAGATAGATAGATAGATAGATAGAGGGGGTGCATGGGGATAGATAGATGTGAACTCTCACACAACCCATGTGCACAGACACAAAATCAGGCTCTGTGCATTCAAAGGAAGAAATCAGGGACATGATTTTGCTCTAATTGCAGATTGGGCCACAACGTCCATAGACTTGAGAGGGAGAATGGTTGGGTACGTGTGTCATGGATTTTTCACCAACCTTGTGTAGGAAGAATCGAGCCATCTCCTGGCCGCAGGCTCTGTGCGTGTAGCAGGAATCAGAGGGGTTTTTATTCCATTCCCTGGCTTCTGGGACCAAGTCCCTGGAGGAAATTTCTTGCCATATTCCTTGGAGGAAGAACAGCCCTGCCTCAGATGGCAACAAAACAACACTCACTGGGTCAGTCATGTCCCAGGATGTTGTATCATCTCCATCAGGTGCGGTTTCTGTGTGACATTCGTGATGGGATTTACTGACAGTGGTAAATGGTGGGGCACGTTATTGTCTGGAAGGGGGAATGATCTGTCCAAGGTCACACAACATAAGGACTCAGAGGCAGAGGCAGGAACAGCACTCAGGGCTCATGGCTCCAGGTCACTGATGCTCAGACTCTCAGCCCTATT